CCATACAGTGCACGTTCCTTACAAGGGTGATTGCCATAAATTTTACATTTGCAACTGGGGATGTGGAATCCCCGTTGAATGTCCACTAGAAACTAGCACAACACGTCTGGTCTTCAATCCAAAATTACAAGTTTGCGATTGGTCGTACAACGTTCCAAAAGGAACGTGTACGAATATATCAACAACTTCGACTACAGAACCTGTAACGTGGCCACCTCCGTCACCTACTACAGTAACTGTAACCAAGTCATCATCGTCGCCTACCACTAAACCTATAACAGAGTCATCATCGTCGCCTACTACAGAACCTGTAACAGTGCAATCATCGTCACCTACTACGGAACCTGTAACAGTGCCAGCATCGTCACCTACTACGGAACCTGTAACAGTGCCATCATCGCCAACTACTACAGAATCTGTAACAGTGCCATCATCTTCACCTACCACAGAACCTGTTACAGAGTCATCTTCGTCACCTACTACGGAACCTATAACAGTGCCATCATCGCCAACTACTACAGAATCTGTAACAGTGCCATCATCTTCCCCTACCACAGAACCTGTTACAGAGTCATCTTCGTTACCTACTACAGTAACTGTAACAGAGACATCATCACCAACAAGTTCAGAAACTGTTATAGAGTCATCATCGGTACCTACTACAGAACCTGTAACAGAGTCATCTTCGTCACCTGCTACAGTAACTGTAACAGAGACATCGTCGCCAACTACTACAGAATCTGTAACAGTGCCATCATCTTCCCCTACCACAGAACCTGTTACAGAGTCATCTTCGTTACCTACTACAGTAACTGTAACAGAGACATCATCACCAACAAGTTCAGAAACTGTTATAGAGTCATCATCGGTACCTACTACAGAACCTGTAACAGAGTCATCTTCGTCACCTGCTACAGTAACTGTAACAGAGACATCGTCGCCAACTACTACAGAATCTGTAACAGTGCCATCATCTTCCCCTACCACAGAACCTGTTACAGAGTCATCTTCGTTACCTACTACAGTAACTGTAACAGAGACATCATCACCAACAAGTTCAGAAACTGTTATAGAGTCATCATCGGTACCTACTACAGAACCTGTAACAGAGTCATCTTCGTCACCTGCTACAGTAACTGTAACAGAGACATCGTCGCCAACTACTACAGAATCTGTAACAGTGCCATCATCTTCCCCTACCACAGAACCTGTTACAGAGTCATCTTCGTCACCTACTACGGAACCTATAACAGTGCCATCATCGCCAACTACTACAGAATCTGTAACAGAGTCATCTTCGTCACCTACTACAGTAACTGTAACAGAGTCATCATCACCAACAAGTTCAGAAACTGTTACAGAGTCATCATCGGTACCTACTACAGAACCTGTAACAGAGTCATCTTCGTCACCTACTACGGAACCTGTAACAGTGCCATCATCTTCCCCTACCACAGAACCTGTTACAGAGTCATCTTCGTCACCTACTACAGTAACGGTAACAGAGACATCATCGCCAATTACTACAGAATCTGTAACAGTGCCATCATCTTCCCCTACCACAGAACCTGTTACAGAGTCATCTTCGTCACCTACTACAGTAACGGTAACAGAGACATCATCGCCAATTACTACAGAATCTGTAACAGTGCCATCATCTTCCCCTACCACAGAACCTGTTACAGAGTCATCTTCGTCACCTACTACAGTAACGGTAACAGAGACATCATCGCCAATTACTACAGAATCTGTAACAGTGCCATCATCTTCCCCTACCACAGAACCTGTTACAGAGTCATCTTCGTCACCTACTACAGTAACGGTAACAGAGACATCATCGCCAATTACTACAGAATCTGTAACAGTGCCATCATCTTCCCCTACCACAGAACCTGTTACAGAGTCATCTTCGTCACCTACTACAGTAACGGTAACAGAGACATCATCGCCAATTACTACAGAATCTGTAACAGTGCCATCATCTTCCCCTACCACAGAACCTGTTACAGAGTCATCTTCGTCACCTACTACAGTAACGGTAACAGAGACATCATCACCAACAAGTTCAGAAACTGTTACAGAGTCATCATCGGTACCTACTTCAGTAACTGTAACAGAGACATCATCACCAACAAGTTCAGAAACTGTTACAGAGCCATCATCGGTACCTACTACAGAACCTGTAACAGAGTCATCTTCGTCACCTACTACAGTAACTGTAACAGAGACATCATCGCCAATTACTACAGAATCTGTAACAGTGCCATCATCTTCACCTACCACAGAACCTGTTACAGAGTCATCTTCGTCACCTACTACAGAACCTGTAACAGAGTCATCATCGTCACCTACTACAGTAACTGTTACACAATCATCATCATGGCTTACTACAGAACCTGTAACAGAGTCATCATCGTCACCTACTACAGTAACTGTTACACAATCATCATCATGGCTTACTACAGAACCTGTAACAGAGTCATCATCGTCACCTACTACAGTAACTGTTACAGAATCATCATCATGGCTTACTACAGAACCTGTAACAGAGTCATCATCGTCACCTACTACAGTAACTGTTACAGAATCATCATCATGGCTTACTACAGAACCTGTAACAGAGTCATCATCGGTACCTACTACAGAACCTGTAACAGAATCATCAGCGTCAACAAGTTCAGAAACTGTAACAGAGTCATCATTATCATCTACTACAGAACCTACTACAAGAAATGTAACACAGATATTATCGTCATCACGCACTCCTACAATCCGGGGCTAATGTGTGTCGAAAGCTTTATTTTTAATCCGCACTCGGAATTATCTGGGCTTTCCAAAAGCGTGAACAGCGTAACGACGTACGGAAGCCTGTCATATATAGATGTTCCGATGAAGAAAATGGAATGGATCACATCTGCGATACTGTTATTCATTGTATCATTTTTTTCACACGTATCGTTCGCTTCAGCGGGATAAGGGATTATGGGTCATGTAATTTCGGAATATCGACGTGAAGTACAAAAATGGTCACTCCGTTACAAAAATTAGTCTACGTTTAACGCTTTCCGATGTTCATAGTCTTTCTCTTTCCTTGTTCTTATTATATACATATATACATATCTCAGAGCTGTTGCACTGGTAAAGTGGAGTAGACGTCACAAGGCATTCAGGAATTATAACATTTGTTCCTAAATCATTTCGTCACAGTTCAAACCAATTCTCTAATTTCATGCTGTATATCCAGCAAAGCATTACTTAAAGTTCAGTGTTATAAATTGCATAGTATTGTTATTTGTGCAAGTAGTTAAGCATAATGTGTGAAATGTGTATTCCTATATCTTCGCATTCGTATGCATTGTGAAACAAATTACGAGATACGTATTAAATAAATAGTAGTTATGCTTCTAAGTATATTACTGCAGTATTTGGGTATATGCTATTGTTTCGTCGGGGCAAGTGACACGTGTTACAAAATTTATATACTCGATGATAAAGTAATCATGACATCGTAAAACCGGACAGGCGTGACACATAGTGTAATCCAATCAGCAAAACATCAGTTTTAGTGAGATAAGAAGCTCGAGTCACGTTCATGACTGTACGAAGTCAATTTGGTATCCTTTTTTACATTACAGTATATTTAAAAATTGATAGAAACAGAAGAAGATAGATGCGTGTCTATATACCGATCCGATTACAGCCACCGATTGACCGCTAGAAACATCGGCTGTTCGAGGGTTCGTGTCTTTTGCTCGACGCTTGAGACTTAAGATTTTGGGGGGCTCGTATAAGACGCGCACGGCCCTGCGTCCCGCTAGATCAATCTACGTGTTTAATGTCACGATTTACGATCTCTATATAGCTCTTCCACCAAATGTAGTTATAGTTTAAAATCGATTTTAAAAGATATTCCTATCACAGTTTATTACGTTTGTTTTCGTTATCGTAAGAAAGTTCTAGATGGTCAAAAGAAGCACTTCTCCCAATTTGTAAAGTTCAATTTAATAAATACTCTTAACTTGTACGTTTTTTACAACAATTTATTCGTAATGTGATACAATACTCATTTGTTACGTAAAGTTCTTCTCATGTTCTATTGCTTACTATGTACAAGTTGACCGTAATTCGTGTTTTTCTGAAGTATCTTGTGCTACTGATCGCGATTATGCTTTTATTAACACGGCTTTCTTGTGATTGACCAGTAGTTGCGTGTTTGTTGTAGATGTTGCGTTTTTCTATTGGTGTGCGTGTGCGTGTGTGTAATATTAGGGATGTGTCTGGTACAGTGCATTCCGGGGGAAGGAAATTGTTGTTAAAAAGTACGATGTAAAAAAACCGAAAAACCATTTGCCCGCGCGTTCGGTCGTTGGGGTAGCCAATGCATGTTCGTTGTTGTCTCTGTTCGGTGGATCTGTTCAAGAGATGTTTACATGCGCCGATGTGAGTTCGGCAGAATTTTGAATTCTATGACGATAACGTTATAACATATGTGTTAACTATAAATGTTAAACAGGTATTTTATTACGACATTATTTGCTCTGAAAGTTGAAGAAGTGTTAAATATTCATTGCTATTGATAAGATAAATAATAAGATATAGATAATGCTTATTGCAGTATAAAAGTTGGTTGGTCGAAATCAAATACTTCAGTATCTGTTAGATATAAGTTTGACGCGCGTAATTCTTCAGATATAGTAATTGTCCACACTCACTCATAATGAAAAGTAAGTAAATCGAAATGTTTCAATACGTCCATCCTATAAAAAGGAAAATTTCCCCCCAAAAAAAGAAAGAGTAGAAAAGAAACGGCTGACGGAAAAACCAGTAATTATAACAGGTTAAAGCACTACATAGGTGGATTTATTTTCAAATATATCTACGTAGTATATTTGAAGCTGTTACAAGATTGATCGTACGTTAAATAGAAAAAAGAAAATATGGTCAGAATAATTCTAACTTTGTAAATTTCAGATTATTATTTATTACTGATTGCTGTTACTATGGCTGTGGCGTGTGTCGCACAACTTAGGCTTGAAGGCTGCCACAAAATTCCAGAGTGCAATTCGAACACTGCATTTAATGTACCAAACAAGAATGATTGTCACAGCTTTTACAAGTGTTCCTTTGGATGTGGATATCTAATGTATTGTTCACTTGAATTAAGTAATTCTTCCTCTAAGCGTTTGGTCTACAATCCACAATTACAAGTCTGCGATTGGCCAGCCCACGTGGATAACGGAGGGTGCCCGGCACAAGCTGTGACACAGTCACCGGTAACAACGACTACGGAACCTGCGAATTCGCCATCTACGCCAGCAAGTTCACAACCTGCCACGCAGTCATCATCGTCATCTACTACGAATCTTGTAACAGAATCATTATCGTGGATTACTACAGAGTCGTCGTCGTCGCCTACCACTAAACCTGTAACAGAGTCATCATCGTGGCCTACTACAGAACCTGTAACAGAGTCATCGTCGACACCTACCACAGAACCTGTTACAGAGTCATCATCGTGGCCTACCACAAAACCTGTAACAGAGTCATCGTCGACACCTACCACAGAACCTGTAACAGAGTCATCGTCGTCGCCTACCACTAAACCTGTAACAGAGTCATCATCGACACCTACCACAGAACCTGTTACAGAGTCATCATCGTGGCCTACCACAAAACCTGTAACAGAGTCATCGTCGACACCTACCACAGAACCTGTAACAGAGTCATCGTCGACACCTACCACAGAACCTGTAACAGAGTCATCGTCGACACCTACCACAGAACCTGTAACAGAGTCATCGTCGACACCTACCACAGAACCTGTTACAGAATCATCGTCGTCGTCTACTACAGAAGAGATATGTTCAAGTAGTACAGAACCTGTAACAGATTCTTCATCATCGTCACCTATACCTACAATCCCTGATATAACGTCAGAATGCCCAAAGGAAGGAAGGAAAAATATAGCTCACGAAAGTAACTGTCATCTATATTATAAATGTGATTATGGAGAGAAGGCGCTTTATAAATGTTACGAAGGGTTAATTTTTAATCCATACGTCGAAGCGTGTGACTCACGGCAAAATGTAGACTGCATAGTAACCGGTGGTGACACGTTATAAATACCGTAATAAAACGGAAGGAGGAGAGCTTCGATTGCAATGTTACTATTATTTCTTACATCATTGTATTATCAATTACCATCCGCATAAACATAATGAAAAATTGTCTCATTAAAACGATCTGTTCCTTACAGAAATGACTGTTTATGCTGATTAAACGTTTCACAATTATTCTACTGTCACTTTTTTCCTCTTCCTTGTTACGTATGTACATATTATCTCAATGTTGTTGTTATAGCAAACTGGAATGCACGTTACAACATTTGAACTAGCAATTAAAATTCTTAAAAAAAAAAGTCTGATACACGAGGTGTCGGTCATTTGAAATTACAACTATTTCAATTCGCTAAAGATTACTATTAAACCTATCACCAAGCAATCGTATTATCCCTATTTTAATCCTAATCGTAGAAGATACTTTGTTCTTCGCGGAGAATCAAAGTGAAACATTTCTTTCCCTTTCCTTTCCTTTGTCGACGAATTGCTGAGATTCTTCCGGTATATATCCAACTATTATATAAATAACATATATCTATATCTAATATTTTTTAGTAAACGATATAGAATGTGATCCACGTAACGTGATCACCTTAGATTATTCTGTTGTTAGTGAATCGATCGACATTTTCTTTTGTTCCAAAGATACCTTCAAGACGATTATAGTAGATTTTTGATCAGTCGGTAAAACGATTCCGATAAAATGTAGAACTTTTAATAACCGTCACTGACGGGCAGAATTTCGTCGTCTGATGCGGCAGAAATCCTGCGCATTCTGTAACGAAACAGAGAAAGAAGCATATGGAGAAATTGTCTCGTGAGCGACGAATAATGTACAGAGTTCGCTTCGATTGATCGACCGTGGAAAGTATTACAGAATGCAAGAATGGACAGTTGGATTGTAGCTCGATGAATATATAAATATTCCATTGACGTGAATAGATTGAACTGCACTTAATTACGCGTATTGCAATTGATAATTTCGAAATTTTCTTTCGTTTACGCGGTATAGCGTGAAAAAGTGGAAGCATTTATCTCTGATTCGTTTCCGATTCTACTTCCGATCAAAGGACCGCTTAAATTTCATTATTAGTTGCAAATTTCTGACGGTAATTGTACGGAATTGTTAAGTAACACGTGAAATGTAAATTCTCGCGTTTCTGTACACACTGTGAAAGAGGTTACGAAATAAATATAAAAAGGGAAAAAAAAGAAACGGAGATACGTGTTTGATTATACTTAGCTTATGTCTGAACACACGTCATCGCTTCATAAGCGCACGTGTACCATCTGTAATGACTTATTAAAATGAATCTTTATCAGGCAATACGATCGAAACTTAACGACGATTGCTTTCGTTATCGCAGGTAAGTTGGAGGTGGGCGGAAAAAGAAGAAAAAGAAGAAAAAAGAATACTCCGTCTGATACGCGAGAAATAGAAGTGAAAAGAAATTGCATTTCGCAATCATTTCCTTATCTCTAATAAATATCTTTGACCTCTACGTATTAACCGAATGTATTAGAGAGATAGTTTCCCACCCCCTTTTATGTACCTTAAAATCGAAGAGATAAATATTCGTTAATGCCGATAAGATAATTAATAAAGATAACGTTAGTGTTTAGTGAAGTATAAAAGTGGGCTCTTTCGAAGAAATTGTGTCAGTATCTCTGAGGCATAGTAATTGTAACTCGTGTATATAGTTGTTTGAATACAGTAATTACCTGCTCCGCCGTTCACAATGAATCGTAAGTAACAGAAAATTCTTTCTCCGTCGTTTCTCTCTAACAAGGAAAGTACCTACGAAAAATCGAATGAAAATTAAACGATTCACAGACGATATACGCTAATTGTAACGAATATACGATCGGCAAATGTTAATTTATTCTCAATTATATCCACTTAAATGTACGATATCTCCCGCAAAGATCGTCCGTCCTGAAACGATCCTGGCATATTTCGATAAATCCGTGATAAATGTGTATCTACCTTGGCGAATTTCAGATTTCTTAGTATTATCGCTGATTGCCGTTACCGTGGCGTTGGCAAGTGGTTTCCCCTCGACCGAAGAACTCTGCGTCCCCCTGCCGTCTTGTCCGCCGAAGAACAACGTCGAATATACCGTTCATGTACCACACGAGGGCGATTGTTACAAATTCTACAAATGCGACAACGGTTGCGGATACCTGATGGAATGTCCGTTCGCGGTAGGACACTCCGAACGTCTCATGTTCAACGTGGAATTGGAGATCTGCGATTGGGCGGTGAACGTGCCGAACAGATCATGCTCGAGAAACGACGGAAGAGGTTTGGTACCAGTTGTCGCAGACTCTTTATCGTCCACATCGTCGGCTCCCTACGATTTAAGAGCGTTGGTCAAAGAATGTCCAAGCACCGGTACAATATACATATCCCACGAGACCGACTGCCACGAATACTACGAGTGCGACAACGGCGAGAAGAAGCTTCATCACTGTAACGAGAACTTGATCTTCAATCCGTACGTCGAAGCGTGTGACTACCCCTCGTCTGTAGACTGCATAACCACCGGCTACGTCACAGGACCACCGGCTCAGTAAAGAAGCGGGGAAAGGGGGATGATTTCCGTTTACAGTGATACTATTTACTTATTATAATCCTTCTACCCTGTCATTTAGCGTTTGCTCAAGCTGAACGAAAGATTCTCGATCGGTTCGAAACGCTTTATGATCATTCTAGACTTACTTTCATCTATTTTCACGTTACACATGTATGTATCACAATGTTGCTGTAATAAGAAATTCGAATGCACGTTACAAAATTTTAATCGGCAATAAAAACACTCGAAAACTGTATTACACCAGGTATCGTTTATTCAGAATACGAATCCTTCCGACGTGCAATTGCGTTAACCTCTTCTTTGTTTTTTTGGTACGTGAAATTATTCTCGTTCAGTTTGACAAAGCTGCTTAAAAGGAGGGAGAAACGAAACATAGCGTGGGCAGCTTGTAAGTGGGGGGGAAAACGTGCAATACTATTTTACTGGACATCGTTGTGGTATTTGTCAATTATGTCCATCACGTGCGACAAAGTCGAACGTCGATTCACGAGGCAAGCTTTCAACCAGCTCTCCGGAATATCGACCGTCTTCCTGTTTCCTTTCCGAGCCTAATCTTAAGCGGCTTTTTTCGCAATCTCCGGAACGGACGTTCTTACGACCGATACGTTTAAATAATATTAGAAATATTGGGATACTCGATATCGAAGACTATGTTCCAGTCTCTATCCAATCTCTATCGAGACACTCCGACACTCACTCCTACAATCGACACGACGAAAGAATCACCGATTCACATTTCACAGGCCACAATTTTATCGAACACACACCTACTTCTATCTTCCGTCGACTGTACGCATGATAAATTGACGAAAAATAAAGTTCCCCCGTAGGTAAGCGCACACTTCTAATCGTCGACTGCCTTCAATTTTGTAATCGTCGATTACGAACGTAAACAATTTGGAAAAGCTTGCTCACGGTATGTCACTTATCGTGAGTTTACACAAAGCAGATTCGAAAGTGAGATCTTACCAGAAATTGTGTACAGATAAGGGGTACAAATTTCTTTTTCTTTTTTTTTTTTAATGAAAGGCCATTTTAGCCGACAGTATCGCACCACGCATATTTCACAGTGTAGATCATGCCTAAATCAGCAACGAAAGGGTTAACGTATTTTCACACTTGTCGCGATACCGCATCATCGTCGATCATAATTATCGGATGCACGTCGTTCGCGGATCTCGTCATAATCGAATTATTATCGCGCACATTTAAACCCCTTGCCCACGGTCGAAGAGAGTCGAATCGAGGACTGTTGCACGCTTAAATTTGCCACCGAAATGAACCGATTTCTCCCTTCCGTTAGTATTTTGTAATTACCCGTATCGATCGATTCTATTTTATCTTTTAATTAATAAGAGATCACGTCACAGCCGTTTTATGCATGTTTCAATGATACAGTATGACAAGTTCAAAGGTCCAAGTACAATGGAAATAAATTAAAATACCTGGATATCTCGTTGGAAAGAAAAAAAAACGAAATAAGTAAAAATGATAAATTCGAGATATGATAAGAATTGTGATCTGGTCAGCGATAAGACTTTGTGTATATATAAAAGTTCGTCGTAATCCTTACGTTTACCAGTTCCTTTGAAATACCCAAGAATAATAAAGTGCATTCGAACATTGCTCTCATACAATGAGAGGTGAGTATATTTTCATGGCGGTACAGGCACTCCCGAATGGGTGGAGGCTTTGAACGACAAGGGAGGATAATTATCGATCGTCTATTCCCAAAAAGGTGATTCTCGTAACTCGGTAACAGGTCCAAAGTGAACGTGCGAATGTGAAAGCACGTAGTATTTTTGGAAATAACGAACGAGGAAGCTTATTCGTTTATAAATGAAAAAAATCACTTCTTACGCCGTGTAGATATCGTTATCTTTAATATTTTTGCAATATATCTTCACCTCCTTTTTCCCTTTTGACACCTTCTTTTTTTCTTTCGACTGAGAATAAGCCATATACATACGTACCGATATCGATTATCAATTTCTATAAATTGCAGGATCGTGGGTGACCATAATTGCCGTGCTGGCAATAGCGGCGAGCGTTGCATCGTTCGACAAGGGTCAAATCCCAACGGAGTGCCCGTCAACGAATTCAACGACGGTGCTCCTCCGTCACGAGTACGATTGCACAAAGTTCTACAGATGTTCGATGGGCAAGAAAATTCTCGCCAATTGTCCGATGACACAAGAGAAGTATAGACTCTACTTCAACCCTGACCTCCAGATATGCGACTCGCCGTGGAAAGTAGAGTGCAAGAATAAAGAAATGAATTGTCAGACGGCCGCTACAAACGATCTAAATCAACCGCATCCGTACAACTGTCGTCTCTATTACACGTGTCAGAACGGCCGAAAGATACAGAAATCTTGCACCGGAGAGGATCGTTTCGATCACGAACGCCTCAGATGTCTGCCGAAAACTGAGACCGATTGCATAACCTACGTAGAAACGTGTCCACCTGACGGACTACTTGGCACTGTCCTACTACCGCACGACTGCATCCCGTCGAAATACTACGAATGCAGAGATGGGAAATTGATGGAAAAAGATTGTCCTGATAATGAAAATTTCGACACGAGTCTCAGGCAGTGTGACTCTGTCGTACAATGCCCTCCACACGGTAACGTCATTATTCCACACAAGACAGACTGTAGCATGTACTACAGGTGCGTGAACGGCGTGAAGACAGAGGAGAAATGCGAAGATGGACTCTCTTTCGACAGTGTGACGAGCATGTGTACCTGGCCACCGAGAGAGGACTGTTCGTTGAAATCGAACGGTCAAGCGGAAGCAGCTGAAGCATCTTCGTTCAAACGTTCAGCAAAACTGGCGTCGGATTTGTCAAGATCCTGCCAAGAATCTGACCGGTTTCCACACCAATGTTCCCGTGACCAGTATTACGAATGCATAAACGGCCAGCTAGTACTTAGAAAGTGCCCGGAAGGTTTCAACTACAACGACCTTTTGAAATCGTGCGAAAATGTTGCGAGTACGTTCGCCTACCAGAGCCAGAAATGTTCCAGAGTCGGGCAACTTCTGCCCTATCCGTACAACTGCACCCTCTATTACAGGTGCGAGAGAAAAGACCGCCAAACTCTTCTATCCTGTCTACAAGGACACCAGTTCAACGCACTCTTGGAAGCCTGTGATTTGCCTGCAAACGTGGACTGTTTCGAGAATACACCTTCAGGTACAGATTGTCCGATCTTAGACTGTGACGGTGTCATTCGGTACCGCGACGAGAAAGATTGTTCGCGGTATTACCAATGCGAGAACGGGAATAAAGTGGGAAAGAAGTGCCCGGAAGGTCTTCATTACGATCCCAAGATCCAGATGTGCAATTATCCGCAGAACGCTGGTTGCACGATTGACACGTGCATCACAGGAGACTTGAGCGAGCACGAGTGTCAATGCCACTTGTACTACGAGTGCGTCAACGGTGAAAAAGTAGTCCGCCCTTGTCCAGAAGGGAAAAATTTTGATTACATAAAAAAGGAATGCGTTTGGGAGGACAGAGCTATCTGTAAACCGTCCAACGCTACAGATCCGCAGTGTATAGGGAAATGTTCGTCGATAAACCCCTGGGAGAATTTGCCGCACAAAGACTGCCACAAGTATTGCCAGTGCAAGAACGGAGTCGGTCAAGCTGCCTCGTGTCCCAAGTATCAGGTGTACAACCCGGTTAGCGGAAGATGCGATTGGCCAGAGAACGTGAAAGACCTGAAGTGCGACCCTTTCCCGTGCGGCGATCAATCCTCTGGATCGCGGGTACCGCATATGTGTTACTGCGACAGATATTACGAATGCAAAAACGGCGAGAAAATTCTGGTACACTGCGACAAAGGTTGGCAATTCGACTACGTGTTACAGAAATGCATACTCTCGGAAGCTCATTGTTACAAAAATATCCACGTAAATCCCCCTCGCGGTTGCATCGTCAACGACGGATCCTCCCACGATCCTTCCGGCACGTATCCTCACGAAAACTGCAATCGGTATTGCAGTTATAACAACGGACATTGGGAGATAGTAACTTGCCGCGAGGATAGTTACTATAACACGGACATAGGTCGTTGCGATTGGCCGGAGAACATAAAACATCTAGGTTGCGATCCGTTCAACTGCGAGTCTCGCAAAGATAACGCGACGATGCCTCACGAGTGCGACTGCAACATCTACTATTTGTGCTACAAGGGCAGCAAGTATCAGAAATTCTGCAACGAGGGCGATGGATTCGATTTCACGTTGCATAAGTGTGTCAAGTACGAAGACGGTCATTGTTACAAGAAGCCTTCCGAGAAGAGACCCGCCGAGATCGAGGGGTGCATCGGTACCTGTCCATCCTCGGTACCTAATAATCGCATACGTTTACCTCACGAGGATTGCAAGAAATTTTGCACATGCGATTCACCAAATATGTACGTGAATCACTGTCTAAAGGATCTTGTTTACTGCGACAAGTTGAAGACCTGCACGTATCAATATAGGTCGCAGACATGCGACAGAGTGAGAGACATGTGTGCGTCGGAAGGAAGTTTCGACGAATTTCCCCGTTCGTCGGTGACGTTTTCCGAACAAACAGAGGAAATGATAGTTTGAACCCGGTGAACTTGTTAACGTGAAATGATCGTTAGATAAAGCAGATACAATTTTCTTGCTTTTAATTTGTGTTCCTCTACGTATCTGTTTTATTGTCAGCACCTCCATATTTATGTGTAAGCTTGAATAAATATTTAAAAAGTAAAACTGTAGACGTGGTAAATTTCTTTCTGACACCTGTCGAACATAGTTCGACGATAGATCGTACAGACTTTTTTCGTTCGCTTCAGAAGTTGAAAATTAAGGGGAAGACATTGCTGTAGCATAAGTTAGAACGACTTTCGTTCTTCTTCGTGCATCTGAACGCAACGAGTACACAAGTAGTTCTGTATTATCAAGTATTGTTATTGCGTGAAAAACAGAAATTCCGAAGTCCACGGTGAAAATGTCCGATAATTTTATTTAGAAAAAAAGAAACTTATTTAGTAAAAAAAACCGCACATAGAAGCATGAAACAAAACAAGATTAGGGGAATAGATATTACAGACCGACGAATCCAACGGAGAATCGCAGAAAATAGCCATTTTTGAAATGAAAAATTCACGTTAGGACATTTAAGAGTATTTTCCAAGGAACGAAAGATGTTCTAACCGTTTATCCGAAATGTGAAGAGGAAAGTTAGAAGAAAACAAGTCGAAATGTGAAAAAGTGACAGTGTCACGTTTCGTCCTCCAACTTGAAAATAATCCGAGAGAAAATCTGCGGGTAAAACGAATGAAAAATAGGAATCGAGTAAAATTAGAAAATTTGTCGACGTTTTATCCACATGTCTTCTTTCCTCTATTACTACCAACGCATCGAAATATTTTCGAATTATTCGAGTGCCAATTTCGTCTTAATCGAAAAATGCTATTACCTCGATCCACTTCGATCTTTCCTATTCTCACTTTTTTCACTTACTTAACCAGCCGTTACATAATTATATAGTTATAAAGTGACGTAGCATGCCTGTTTCTCTATCCCAGTTAGACGACATTCCAAAAATAAGGGACTCTTATCGACTCTATCAACGTTGACTAACTGTACCGTAAGATCACAAGGATAAGTATTTCTCTGATCGCAAGAAAGATGAACTTATCTTTAGATAAGAAATATCAAATTCGACAGTTACGAATCCGTGTATCTTCAAACTAATAAACTCTACACTATTCTACGCCAATCTTGCTTTCGGACATATGTATATCATTCGGTCGACTAATCCAAGATAAATCTGTAAGATCGACGATTGCGTTGTTACTTGCCACACTCGTTCAGCAACGATCTTACGCAGATTTTCTCTCGGATGATTTTCACGTTGGATCCGAAGGAATTCGATCGCTGTCACTTTTTTCACATTAGGAATTGTTTTCTGCAACTTTCCTGTCACACTTCGGATAAACAATTAGCACATCTTTCATTCCACGGAAGATACTCTTGAATGTCTTTGTTTATGAGGCCTCTATACTCATTTTCTAGCATCTCCTCCGTTATTACGTCTGCGCCGTTGATAGAATTCGAAAGACGATACAATTCAGCCCGGAAGAATCTGAGCGATTCACTTGGCAGCGGTGTTGTAAAAAGATTTTTGGGTAAATTTAACGGAACGTAGAAGCGTCCAGAACGAACCAGCTCTTTATTTCACAAACTTCACTATTGTAAATTGCACCGAATATTTGCAAGTAAGTATCTACGTAGGATGTGTAAAATTTGACCAGGCACGTTTCGGTACGCGGTGTGAAATACATAACGTGGGAACTATGAAAACAGGCCAAGTTATGTGCTTGTGTACACATACGATTACGCTTCGTATCTGGACACACGCTATCTTTGTATAATTGCACGTGTACTTCGCATAACGACAGATTAAAATTGATTTTATCAGACCGTTCGATCTAAGTTCAAAACGATTCCCCCCGTTATCGCGACTGAGATTTCGGTGAGCGAAAAATTCAAAAAAGAAGGAGAGAACACGGCACCTTTGATACATGTCGTGAAACATCACTGAGAAAGAGGGAACCGAGTTCCTTGCACTCGTCTCTTTTTACAATACTTTAATAAGTATTACTTAAGAGGTAATTTCGTGCACCCTTCTCTTAAAATTCGAAGAGAAACGTAGATTTAGTTAACATCGATAAGATAAATAATAAAGGAACGATGATATCGAGTAAGGTATAAAAGTGGGCACGATAGAATGAATTTTATCAGTATTTCTGTGGTACAGCAATACTGAAGTGTGTACGTTCGTTACATTTGGTACATGGTGTTGTCCGCAATGAAACGTAAGTAACTCGACATGTTTCCATAATTTGTTGTAAAAAAATAGAAGAACGAAGAGAAGAAAACGAAACGATTAACAAGACAATCTAACGGCTATAACGATCGATCGTCGATCGAATGATAAATTCCGATATAATCGCTATAAGATCTTTTTCGAAATTTCACATCTGCGTACTGAGATATTTGAACGATCTTCGCATATTTTCGACCGATTCTTCCAAACAAAATTTCCCACAACTTACTTCGCCAGACCGTTTCTTCGTCGACATTGTAAAATCTGAAATAACAGAGCTGACTCGATTTCTCCACCGAGCCGTTCAATTCTTCGTTCGGTCGGACAATTCAAATATCGCGATAACTAACGTATCTCTCGAAATTTCAGATTTCTACGCATTATCGTTAATTGCCGCTGTCGCGGTAACGGCCTGTGCTGCACAAAGTGTGGACAATCCCTGCATCCCGCTAGAACAGTGCCCACTGGAGAACCACAAGAACTATACCATTCACTTGGCTGATCCGTCTGATTGTCACAAATTTTACAAATGCGACCGTGGATGTGGATACTTGTTCGAGTGTCCAACTGCAGCAATAAACTCCAATATACACCTGGTCTTTAATCCAAGAGATCAAGTCTGTGATTGGCCCGAAAACGTGCCAGAAGCGTGCGGCATTCGACCACCAATAACACCACCACCAATAACATACCCACCCATAACACAACCACCGATAACATACCCACCGATAACACAACCACCGATAACATACCCACCGATAACACAACCACCGATAACATACCCACCGGTAACACAACCACCGATAACATACCCACCGATAACACAACCACCGATCACATACCCACCAGTAAACCCCGGAGGTGGTATAGCTATAAGATGTCCAGACATAGGCTCAATGCGCATAGCTCACGAGAGTAACTGCCAGTATTTCTACGACTGTCTCAATGGAGTGAAGACGCTTCATCAATGTAACGAAAACTTAATTTTCAATCCGTACGTCGAAGCATGCGACTACCCTATACATGTAGCGTGCATAATAACAGGCCATGTAAGTGTATAGACGGTATGCATAAGTAAAGAGCGAAGGAAGAGATTTCCGTTTGCAGCGATTACCAATATCATTGCGCAATCACACTTACCGTTCGCTTAACCTTAATCAAGGGTTTATCAATAAAATCTAAGTTAAATTAAAAACCGTTTACGATCATTCCACACTTACTTTTCTCCATTCCTATGCCCTGTACGTGTGTGTCAGTACGTATCCGAATGTTGCTGTAATAGTAAACTTGGAATGCGCGTTACGAAAGCCGATTCGGAAATTAAAACACTGGAAAACTGTTGTTACATGAAGTATATCGTTTATTTCGAATTGTAACCCTTTCGACTAACAGAAAATCATCATCGAACCAATCAGCGTCCAATCGTATTCACCTTTGTTGTAGTCTTAAGAGGTACCCCCTCTATCCCCCTGTCGAAAAATCTAAGCGAAATATTTTCCTCCGTTCTTTCCCTCTTTTTTTTTCTTTGGTATGTAAAATTATTCTCATTCAGTTTGATAAATATGTTTGAAAGAAGGGAGAAAGGAACAACGAAACGCAGTGTACACGGATCGTGCGTGTACGGTGGTAAACGTACAATACTATTTTACTGGACATCGTCGTAGTATTTGTCAACTATGTCCAACACGTGACAAGGTCGAAGGTCGACTCGCGAGGCAAGCTTTCCATCATCCGAGCTTTCCAGCTCTCCGGAAAAACGACTATCCTCCTGTTTCCTTTTCTCCAGTCTCGCGTGCTGCGATCTCTGAGAATTCTCCAGGATCGTTCTCATCGTGTCCAAGATATGATTAACTTCCGGCGTAGAGGACACGGTGTTTCCCCTTTTCCCGTACCTGTTCGTACATTTCATTTTCATTAAAACGATCGTCCGTGTTATTTTAGCAAAAGTCGCGTTACACCACCGGTTTATCAGTTTGTCCCTTTGCTTCAACGATATTTCAAATTGTGCAAGAAAAGGAACGATAAAGTACAACGAAAAAGATGGATTTCACCCTTTCGCTGCTATCGGCGTTTATAAAAATTTGGCCACGCTGTACTGTTGAAGCGTTTCGGCGCGCTTCCACGATAATTCAAGCCGTAATTTCATCCTTTCAAACGACAGAAGAAAGCGCGTTGTGCAACTAAAATCTGTCGCAGCGAAAGGGTTAACTGCTCGAGAAATGACACGTGGACAACTGTTTCCACCGTTCCTTCGCGTGTAACAGGTAAAGCTAAAGAATCGATCGCGTACGTTTCACGATACGCCCGTGTAAGGTTGTAACGTGCCAAGGTACATCATTACCTAGCTTTCCCGCTAAGCGAGTAGTAATCGCTGACGTGATCGAGATATCTCCTAAGCTCTTCTGGACTAGTAAACACTTCCGGTCGGGTTGGTCTAGCCATTGGTTCTGGTTCACCGTGAACAGTGACGGTAATCCCGACAACGACGAGGGCGAGCGACAAGTAGACGATATTTGAATACGATTGCATTCTTCTGCTATGCTGGAAAGAAGAAAGAAATTTCGAAATTGTTGCGTTTCCAAGTAAACGAACGGTGAAGCGTGAAACAGAATTTTTATCGGCCGCGTGTATATACTATACAGGCACACACGATACTACCGGCTGGTTTACGTAAAACCGGGAGAAACACGTCGCGAATATCTCCTTGTTGTTGCGGATTAATTTTCCGCACATTGTTCGGTGTAAACTGCCACGTAAAAGGTACACCCCGTTCGCGAGCTTGGTAATCCGACAGCAAAGCTACTTGCAGAGATGAACGGAATCTTCTTTACGAGTGATTTCGTGCTACTCCTCCCACCCTACTCTATATTGCGTTCTTTTTCTTTCTCGACATGCATTAACGCTTTACGTCACTGTGCCCCGGTGCAGGGATTAGAAGCTGACAGAGGAACGAGTTCGTTAGATGAAACGGTTAACCGGACGAGAAAGATGCGAATGATAACGACGAACAGAAGAAGATCGAACCGTCGCAAAATCGTGATTACAGTTTGATAAACGAGCAATGATTTTCCTCAATTTTGTTCCTCTTTCTCTCGGTGTTGTTTAAACGAAAAATCGTTACTTTTCACTCGCGTTCTCCGGATTATTGTACATCTACGCGGAGATAGTATCGCAGAATTCGTTCGATAGAAACAATTACACAAATCACACTATGTATCGACACAAATAATTACTTGATCGATGTCACTTGTTACTTACCCTGATCAATCGAGAAACTGAATCGTGTATTCCAGGTACGAAGAGAAGGGAGTAGAGATAGAGAGAGTGAGAGAGAAAGAGAGAGGGAGAGATATATGAATCTGTTCCAACGACTAGATATTTCCTCTGCTTTGACGAATGATTCAAGTGTCGAAATCGAATCGGCCGCTCGTGCCACGGGACAGGAGTATATATACCTGAGAACGCACCCTCTGGCTCATCCCCTCGTCGGCGGATCGTGTATCGCGCAGCCAATCCACGAGATTCAACCCTACCACCGGCCTCGCAACTTCCCCACTACTTCGTCCTTTGTTAGATCCTCTTTCGTTCATCTTTCCAACTCTCGTATACCGGGATAATTCGTAAAAATTCGATTAAAAGAACGGATCTGTCTGTGGAGAAACGACACGTCGATGGTGTGTATCTCTCCGCCATTCTCGCTAAGCAGCTATGTCGGGAAACAAAAGCTAGATCACTCGACTAAACGAGATAGTACCTTTTACGAGTACTTCTGGAAAAACGAGGAGGATCGAACAGATTGGAATCTTTATACATTGAGAAATTCGAAGCTGTTGTAGAATTCTGATTTTCACAATTCTTACTTTGTGAGAGGTTGAATACAGATACAACATTGGAAGCTCGTGGAAAAAGAATTCTATCGGTGGCATATTCGAAAGGAAACGTGCGCAGAGTGAACGTGCAAGTTTTCTTCGTTGGAAGAAGAAAGGAAAAATTGCACGACGTTTTCGAAAAGGTGACGTTCACGTTGAAAGTATTTCACGATAAATGCTCCCTGTAGGCGGCGTTTAACTCGCGAGCAATAAACCTCCGCAAAAGTGTAATCAGATTGGTCTGGAAACGCGGACTTACCACCGCGTGGCTTTTTATGAAACGTTCTCGCAAGCAAGATGTCTCGGCGACGTAAAGAACGGATATTACTTTCAGCCAAGAATCGGATATCCCCTCTTTGCACGCGTATTAACAGATTCTTTTGACGAGGAACACGGAGGGAAAAGAAACGAGATATGAAAAGTCGGAGGAAACCGTGTGATTTACGTAAGATTCGTCTCTTAGACACGTTCGATACACAACACCGATCGTTTAAACGTTTCGCGAATCAATTTAACCTCTCCTCCTACTCTGTCGTCTACTTATTTCCCAGCTCAGTTCCACAAAATTCACCCTCGCCACTTTCCACCCCTATCTATTTTATATTTAAAATAAAACCTGCCACCGTGATCCATTCTTCTCGTTCAACGAGGCGGATACACGTAGGTCGAACAGGTTAAACCCAGTTGAAACTTTCACGAGCGAGATATATCCTTGCTGGATACATTCGACAATCTTAAGATCGTTAAATCTGAGAGGTAGCTTGGTGAAACTTACGAAATTTGCTCGATAACGACGGGCAACGTCTGTAAGTACTGCAGGCGGGATAGGGATGGATCGTCGCCGCGCGTGTATCATACTTCCTGAACGCGTGGGATCGATGGAGAATCGTGATGGACATATTCGATATAGACGCGTTAAATGAGATTGCGGACACGTTCGCAAACAGGAGGATCATTTGGTACGAAGCGTCCAGTCAATGGAACAACCAACTATATTAATAAAAAGAAACAAGTATGTTAATAAAAGGACACCCTACAGGCTCTTCGGAGGGTGTTGTTCATCGTCGTCTCTGTTCCCAGGCCTTTAGGAATATAAAAAGCAGCCTCTAAGAGTTACCGTTAAACCGTGGATTAAATCTGTGCTTCCTTTTTCCCGTCTATTACCCGAGATTTTCATCGGGAAATACGAACGTTCGTTGTGTGAAATAATTGCTCGTTCATTGTTACCAAACATGCTGCTGCGATTTTCTTACTTTTTTCCAAGCACTCGCGATACGTACTTCTTTTGGGAGGCAGCTGTGCTTTCGACTTATCTACGGGTTTTGGAAACGTGAAGAAATCGCACGAGTGTTAATTCAACCACAATTTTTTCTGACAACAAAATTCTGAATTTGAAGCAAACACGAATAGAAATTCGTGAATTTCTCTCAACCGCGAATTCGACCGACATTCAACGACACATTTTCACCGGTAAACAGAACAAAACCTACTGTAAACGAGAAAACATCACATGTCATCGTGATAACTGTTCCCTTGATTCAACGCACGAGAACATATGCTCGTGTTTAGCCGGCCTTAACCAGGTTTCGAGTGTTCAATGAATTGGACGGATCATCGCAGTGCTACTCAACAGGTTGTTACAAGTCTCTTTTACAATCCACGAGCAACTTTGAACAATCACTCGTTGTGAAAATTAACCGACAAAGGGAAAGGACGAGCTTTACCATTTTCCCAACATCTTCGCTTGCAATTCGACGAAATGCGTATCGTTGCAAAAGAACGGTCGATTTTTTGCGATTTGAGAAGCACTGAGCAACGAAAGGATAAGCTCACCCCGTCGATCCTTATCGTTTAGGTAATTCCTTTTTGCTTCACATTTGCCATTATCGTTCGATTGATTTACAACTTTTCCCCTTCTCTATCTATCACCGTCCTGATTAACATTTCGAAATTTCGCGATAATTTGCGTCAGCGATACTCCAAAAAGAAAAAAATCCCTGGAACACTCGAGAAAACATCCAACATACCACGCACGATTATAGTTCATCGTTTGATTTTCAAACAGGACGAGGGCGCTGTGACCATCGAACGCTTCCGAGCCTATCGATCCGACAGGTGAGAAAGACTTACCTTCCACGGATAACCCCACGAACACGTGCAACAATAATCATTCGTTCATCGAACAAACTCATCCTCGATCATTTCCAACGCCAAACAAAAGGTACAATTACGAGTAACTCTCGATTAACAATACTCTACTTGAATTAATCCAACAGCAAGAACGTTCTACGTTCCATACTTTGTAGAAATGAGCTACCGTTGCCCAAAACCTCGGAAACCTGTCTATATTCTTAGCTCGGAAAACAGGTGAGAAAGAATAAGAAAGAAGAAAGGAGTAAGGATAACGTCGAAGAAAAGACGTGTTTCCTTGGGCCATACGGCGACCTGCGACGACGACGACGACGGCGACAACCAGGTCGAAGTGGGGACACGTTTGAGAAGGGCAGAAGAGCACCGCCAATCGACAGGGTCCGTAGAAGTAAGAGAGGCACAAAATGGTATAGCCTGTCGTTGGTGAAAAAAGGAAAGGAAGGTTGGTTTAGAAGGAGAAAGGCAACGGAGGAGAACGGTCATTGCCACCACCTCACCTCGAGCCGGTGCTAAAGTCTCCGTTACAAGGTGTATCCTCGACCCTGCTACGGCCTATTCTGCACAATTGTCCTATAGTTTAGCTTGGCTTGGTTCGTTCGGGGCCGTAGTGGGGCCCCAAAGCCAACGACGATGCGTCGTGTTGGGATTCGTGCATGCGGAGCGCACCCGAGAGCACCTGGATCGGTGATCCAGAAGTCGTGAACCACGCTAAGATCACCGACAAACCAGTTCGATCGGTGCTAAGCTGTGGCAACCACCTCGATATATCCGTTCGAGAAGAAGAACCGAGATCCTGCCAGAGATCTCTAACAAACACACGCAAACAGACACGCGAGATCTCTGATCCGTTCGTTTCTTCTTTCTTTTCGTTCGTTCATTTTTTTGGTTTCTCGAGCGGGTTAGAAAGGAGGATCGATTCGTCTATACGGGACGAAGAGATAAACAGAGGTGCGCACCCTGACCTGTTCGGTGATTCGGCGAAATCGTTGAATACGATCAATGAGACTCGTGTCTCTACGCGTTCGGTTCAATTTTCCCCGAGTTCACGTTGCTTCGATCGCCGGTGAATTTTTGCTCGGTGGCTGAACGGAGTTCGACAACAGAGAAATTTGACGCGAGGGTGAGAATTGCCAGCCTGCTAGGGGGATGATGACTCTCCAAGCTTGACCACACGACGGACCAGCCTTCGTCGTTGCAATCGGCCGCGCTGCTGACAAACTCCCCCGGTAAAGGTAAGATTTTTACACGTTACTCGTTCGGATAGAAAGAATCATCAGAAAATAGTCTCGATACGGAGTTTACCTACGCGGAGGAAACAGTCCGGTACGCTGTTGGATTTGCCAAAGTGAACCGTATGTCGTTCACACGAATAGCGGTACCACTCGTTCCTTCCAGCAGAATTCAAACTTTCACGAACACCGCGATGCTTGGTATGAGTGTCATTCTGATTCGACGAATACCGCCCCGTTTCGTACGTGATTCACGGTCGAAACCGCGAAGACACAGTCCGGCGAGGATAGAAAGAAAAGTCTCGTCCTCGGGATTGTATAAGATTAACGAAATGTCGTTAAATGGTAAATTAAAGTACACGTGAAGAGAATCGTACGAACGTGTTCTGTCGCACCGTCGAGAAAAGATATATTCGGTGTGCATCGTTCGTTACATCCAAAGTTTCTCTTCTTCGAAGCTGAAATATTCGGCTAATTCGTGTATTTACGAGCCTACTCTTAACGAGTTTTCCTCGATACGATCGTCTGTCCGCCTGGAAATTGGCCATTTTATCCCTACGAACTGTACTTCGCCGCCAACCCACATGTGCGCCTCGTATTAGATACGTGCGTACAAATGAAAGTGGCCTGTACCGTTACAACATACGCACCGTGCTACAACAATAGCTTTTTTACACGTGCATACGTGCGTGTGTGTGTGTGTGTGCGCGAGTGTGTGCGTAAAAATCACGAAATTCACGAAAGGATCGTTGCTGCGAAACTAAACGACGAAGGATATCCCGCAATTATCCGACTTCGATTACACGCGCCGTGCAAAAGCAGCCAGAGTTAATGCACGCGTTTTACCTAGAATTAATGCCATTAGACCGCGGATGTTTATGCAGTTACAACATATAGAAATATGGAAAATGTGCGAGAGTAACGTTAGAGTACCTCTAGAAATAATTAAGCAACGCTAATAAAATGTACCATGGTACGTGAGAATGTTTAAAAGGATCGATTCTAGTAATCAAGGATAATCTGTACTCGAAGCTGTGTTCGGTAAATCGTGTTCCTTTTTGGAACGTGCAGAGCTAGAACGAGTTCTACTCATTGGAGAGAGAGAGAGAGAGAGAGAGAGAGAGAGAGAGAGAGAGAGAAAGAGACTGCTACATACAAAGTGTAGTCTCCGCGAGCTGTTAAAAGGAGAAAAAAGAAAGAAAATAGGCTGTTCGAAATGGAGACACGGGGGAAGATAACTGTCGCCTAACTAATCAGAGGCAGGAAACCAGCAACCTGACCATCGACAAGCGGACACGACTCACGCGTCGACATTTGTTGCTTCATCCACCCGAATTCCTGCCTCTGGGTAACTGTAACGGTTTTTATCACTTCCTCAAGGAGGAGGAGCGAGTGCACGTTGGATGAGATCATTGCATTTCCACGGATAGCTTGAGGGAAAAACGAGAATTACCTGAAACTTCAGGCGAAACGAAAGCTTTTTTTTCTTCTTCTTCTTCTTTCTAACATTTCTCGAAAAAAAAAAAAAAAAAAAAAAAAAAAAAGACACGACGCATCTTTTCATTTCTGTCTACATATGTGTACGATTCGTTTCTTCTTCTTCTTCTTCGTTCTATATATTCCTTCGAGTCTATTGTTTCAGTGGAAAGATAAGTACGATTGAGCAATAATGGAAACGAGAAACGACAAAGTTCAACAGTTTATTCAACTGGACAGGACATAACGTTACACCCGAATTCTTGCTTCTGAATAACTGTAACTTTGTTCTTACAAGAGGAATATCGGTATGTCGAATGACTGGTATGTCGAACGACATTAGTAATCGTCGAGATGAACCAAGGAAAAGGATTATACTTGGAAAGTAGCTGCGTGTACGTGCAGTAGCATCAACAGAGAAAATCTAACGATCTCTATTTCTCTTCTGGCTTCATTGTTGCTTTCACGTAATATTGTACTCTTGTTGAAAACGAGCGTCCGTTCTCATAAGGTCGTTCCACTCACGATCCTTTCTATTCCTGCGATGAGACAACCTTATGACTGTTATCTTTCCACCGGCTTCTTTTTCTTTTTGTCTAACAAGTAAATTTTACCTCTGTACAGTACCTTCCTATCGAACGACCGAAACACGTTCCATTCCCTTTTTCTTTATCTTTCACTGAAATTTTCTCAATAAATCCCTGTCAATCAAACACAATACCGACAAATATCGAAAAAAATTCGACAAACATTCGTATCTTATCTGAAACGAATTAACAAGGTTATACGCGGCTACGGTGTAACAGTGGCCTTTCATTCGTATCTTATCTAAATACACGTTTTACGAATTTCACTTAATAATCGCGATTTTCCGTTTGAACGGTGTATCGTGAATTTCGTTAATTACCCTAAATGGCGGAAAATTAGACAATCATACGGCGCAACGCGCACGATCGTCGCGATTCGTAAGGATTTCGAAGGAACATCGTTCTCTCTGCAATTCAACATTTTCACGCTACTTTTACAGATGTGGGATCGAGAAAGACAAGCCTGGGCCGTCGTCTTCCTAGGCAACGTGCTGATCAACACAGTGATCGCCTCGCCGATCTACGTTCCACAATTCATACCTGGAAGTAAGTAATCTTCGATAAAAGAATCGACTGTTTTGTTCACGATTAAAACGCAATCTTTCCTATCGGTAGCTAAGCGAGCCTCGATCCAATCTTAATTTCACAATGGAAAAAGTCAACATTATCGAGCTTCCACGGAATTTCACAAATCACAATTCACGGAGGTCCATAGACCTACTGTCTTGGAAAATCTCATCCTTAGCAAAGGGTTAACTGATCAAGTTGCACAGAAATGTTCATCTTTGAAAAAAATCCTCCTCCTCTTTGATCCCTTCTAGCTTGCACACTTCTCTGTTTCCCCGTGGTTCTTGGATTTCCCTCGAGTGTCGAGCCGTATAACGGATCGGTACGCAAATACTCGGTGGCACGGGCAACGTTGAACTTGCGCGCCTGGTACACGCATATTCTCGTATTCGAGCTCGACACGCACAATTGCACGCGTGCTTACGCTTACCTGTCAGTAGCCCGCAGGACGACATTGAACCTACCTTGGATTCGAGCTCGAATGGAACGTGGGCGGACTGGTCAGTTTTCTATGGAAGTAGGTCAGGCCCGGTCATCGGCGCTCCACACGACTTGCACTGATTTTTCCGCATCTTGTCATCTTCGTTCTCATCGGTATTCATGTCGTTTCACTCAACAGAGCTCCATCAGTCGTCACAGTGAAATCGGTCATCGTACATGGGGACAGCTACTCGAATAACACGGATGAAAAAGTCGTAAGACAATTGAACGCACACGATGTCAGAGGAGTGTAAAGCAAGATACGGTCGTTTCTTTTGCAATCTCGTGACCGTACCTTCTCGTATTAGAATTATCCGTGTAACAGGATTGAACAGGTAGGATTCGAACGATTCTGCGATACCGATTAACCCTGTAAATCGAAATTTGTCCGTAGAAGGATCTATTCGGATCGAACATGTTCCACGGTCTTCGACGTTCAGTGAAACACTTTCGTACTGTCAGTGAAATCGTTCCGGAGGGATTCTCGTGGGCGTGCACACGTGCTCAACATTTACACATTAGCGTTCGATATGGCGAACACTGAAATTCCGACAAGTGCGTAATGGAATCGGCAACTTTCTTTCGGGACACTGTCTGACTCACGTCAGACGACACTTCCGCCTAGCATACATTCTCTACGCGGAAGGACACGCAGAACGATCGTTGGACAAGGGAACTGACCGACTAACCCGAAAGGAAGGGTGCCGGGTTTGTATATAATTTCACGGTCCATTTTCACTCGCCACGGCCATCAACCTCGCCTGCCCACGAAGAAAGTAAATATCCCGAGAAGAAAAAGAACGCGTTACGTTTGTAACCTTGTAATCTCTCTATATTCTCGAATGCAAATTGATCTCGTTCCATCCATCTATCATCCACGAACGAAAGTCATTTTTATACGCGCAACAAATTAAACGTCGCTTGAAATCTGATAACACGCGACAGTTACCACGGGATTACTCGAATTATCTCGATGAATGAGCAAAAAGTATTTCGATCGGATCTTTGTTGCGTCATTTATCGCCAAAGGGAATTCTTCCGACGTTGTCATCCTTCTTTTTGAAAATCGTCAAGCAACCCTGTGGTTTCTCTTTGTTCTACCGATTTTTCGTGTCCAAGCGGTATAACGATGTGTTGGTGCGTGTGTCCGATTCGTAGAAATAGTTCGGTTCCAGATATTCGTCGATTTAATCGCGGTCCGTGAGTCATAGAGAACATCGGAATGCTCGCAAGGATTTCGTTAGATAGCAAAGTATATACGTACACCAGAAGGAAGGTGAGGAGATTGTGAGGTGTCTTAGAGGGAAACGGGCTGTTACATTAGGCTATGACTGTGACCCACTTTTGGCTCGGGCAACTAGCTCATACATCGAAACGTAACGGTACCAAGATGCTTCGCCTCTTGGCTGACATCAATTCGTTTCTTCGATAACGCCTGCTGTACGCTTAATGCATCATTGTCGCTCCATAATCGTTTGGAAATTAACCGATAATCATTGACGCGATACACGAATATCGATACAATCAACGTGTCCTGTATCACGTATACATAGGTATATGTAAGCCGAGCTCTGTTTTAGATTGGACGAAAATTTACGAGCAATATATCGTTTCAGATTGAACAGGGTCGAGAAACCGTTTCAAATTTCCCCATATATTTTTCCATCGTTATCCCGTTATTTTTCAGCCGTCGTATATACACCTTTTCCTTCTTACTCTTTCTCTTAAATAGACATTTTCAACTCTATTGAGATAAATAGTGGATACAATTAGAAGAAGACCCAGAAGCAGGCGTCGAGAGATTTGCAGCTTCTTCCCGTCGACTGTTATTAATCGATCACACGACACGGTGTCGTTTGTTATCGGTGACAAGGATCGCGGTTACACACTGTACGACGATTAAGACGAGATTATAAACTATGACGATACCAAGCACGAAGTATTACGCGGTGAATGTGGAACACATAGCGAATGCACAGTTAGAGGTACCGAGTTGACGTTAAACTTGGACGAGAGATCACGGAAAAGCGGACACTGATCTCCTCGTTTCTTCCTACTTTCAAGTATACCTATCGATTACTTCCACTTCTTTTTTCTTTCGTTCACTCTGTAACCGATTGTCCGTGTGAAAGGGGTAAAACCAGAAACGAAGCGAACGATTAGGAGTCTGAATAAAATACGACAAATAGTGCAGTTTGAAAATTATTCTTCGCGTATTCAGGTACAGGAAGGAACATCAGACACTTGCCCTGCGTTTCTCGACGAACCGGCGAGACCGGTGTTTGCATGTTCGCGTTTACATGCGCCAAGGCGAATGGCACACACCTAGGCACCTGCATCGATCGTTTCTACTTTGGTAGCTGTTGCAAGATCGACGAGGAACCGGATATTTTTCCGCAGGACAACAGTATCGACGATGGACCGCCTGCCAGGCCGTTCGTCACGACCCACGGGCCGATCGAGAGTAACGACATACCCGAGTACTTCTCAAGGCCGAAGCCAATCAACGAGGAGAAACCATCTGGTACATACTCGACGGAGGCAAGTGCATTTATCACTTTGTGTGTACACGTTACAATTTTCTCGGAGAATCGTCTTCTTCAAGGATGGCATTCTTCTTATTTCGCGAGTTTCTTTCTTCTCTTATTTGAACGTACACTTTTTAGAGGAATATAAAGTTCGTCGCATTCTCGCGGTCTTTGATCTCGCGTGCAAAAGAACGACGAATCTTTCTGCTATCGCGTCCTCCAGAGGGTGATCGAACGTTTCACACGAGATAATCGAATTTCCTCTTGTTTGCAAATACTTCAGGAGACGACCACCAAGCAATCTACACGACCGTTATCGAGTACAGTGAAAGAAACGACAAAACTCGCGACGAAAAAGCCAGCAGTGCTGACGAGCGTCGAAACAACCACGCAACCGGTTCTATTATCGACCTTTCAAACTGTGCAGAACTCGTCGAGGGAAGATTCGACGACAAAAAGTCCACCGTCGAGAGTCACGAGCAGTACTGTACAACCGGCGCAAAAACCGTCCAGCACGATCATGGAAATCACGAGCACCACGAGCAAACCCTCCTCTACGTTGACCTCGTCCATCACTTCGAGGCCAACGACACTGGAGACCGTGACAAAACCGCCGTCCACCGCGCAAACCTTTGCTCAAACAACCAAACCGATAACCAAAAAACCAGTTCACACGTCCACCACTCATAAACCGACCCATTCTGTCACGTACAAGCCGATTCACTCGACGATTCACAGGCTCAACGAGACAACCACGCCTAAGCCCATCCTTCAATCGACCACCGATCGAACCACCTTAACAACCACGTCGAGAACCGTGATTACGACTACTCAGAGGATCGTCCCTATCACCAGGTTCCCACCGAGAAACACGACAACCTCGAAACCGTTGACTCATGCCACGACCAAGAGACCGATCACCAGCACCAGAAGACCAGCGATCACCACGAAGAAGCCGAGTACGCACACGAAGAGACCTGTTACCACAGCCAAACCATTCACAGCTACAAGTTTCGCTACGTCTACGTCAACGACTACGCCGAAACCGTTGTTAACGTCTGTCAAAGATCGACCAACGACCCCTACAACCACCGAGACCGTCTTCTCGACAGAGACAAGGCCTCTAACGTCCACCACGGAGACTGTGACCGTTCAGAAACTCACCACAACCACTACTACAACAACGAAACCAGTGCACAAAATTAAACCTACCACTGTTCGAACGACAACAACGAAGCCTTCGACGACCACTTCGAGGCCGAAACCAACGAAAATCGGCACGACGACGACGACGACGACGACGACGACGACGACGACGAAAACGGTACCCAAGCCGGATTACACGACGACCACCGAGAAAACGGTACCTCTGTCGTCGTTAGATCCTTCCAGCTCGGCTGTTACGAAACCCAGACCAACGGTAGAATCGACGAAACCAGCTAAACCGTTGAGTAAACCTATCACGAGGCCGTCCTCGTCTACTACACCCTCGTCAGTTTTTAATTCCACCGTGATAACCAACACCAGTTCCGTGTCTTCGTCTTCCACGGAAGCTGTTGCTACCACCACAGCCACGTATGCTACACCTACGAAAGTGTCGTCGATCGTTAATCAGACCACGGCCGATGTCTCTCAGACGACTTATTCACCTGGATTGGTCACGTGGACGTCGAGTTCAGACGACACGACTACGAGAACCCCTGAAATCTCGTCGACGACGACGACGACGACGACGACGACGACGACGATCACGCAACCAGGTGAGTGAACAGCTAACGTTCTCGTGCGGAGGGGAAAAAGGGGAGGAGGAGGTGGGGAAGTAATAAATTTGAAAGATTCAGGTGTAACGGCACCAGCTGAGTAATAATGCTCGATTCAATTGGTTAAGTTCGTTTAACGCGTTAATTGGCCAATTTGTATTCATATAATTCGCAATTAATCAACGCGTGCGCATGGAACAAGTAGAATCTCGTTTAGCATTTTCTTACACGTTTCACGGTGAAATCGAAGGAAAACGGATGCGCGTTGTGTAACTCGACGGTGTTTTTTCGTCGATGGGAAAACATCTCGATGGCGATTCACGTCGAAACGCACGCCACTTGCATTAAGTAACGTCGATCCGACCGATCAACCGCGAAATCTTCACCCTTGTTCGTGCTTTCACCGTCTCGTGAATTTAATAAACTCGAGCGAGGAATTCGTATCGTGAATTCGTACAGTTCCCTTCTTCCTCAAATTCCACCGTTCATTCTCCAGGAATTCGAATTATCGGTCTCTCCCTTGTAACAAACGAACAGATTTATTTCACCTATTCGCAAAATTACTATATCTTCATTTCACTAAAAAGAGAAAAGATTTCTAAATTTCCTGAAAACTGCCACGAAGTCGTTAACGCGATGAAAATGGCTACCAGCGAACCACTGTCCAATCCGTTCGTTCGATCGTAAAACCATCCACGTGTGAATTAAAAAAAGAAAGAAAGCAGACAATCAAGAGATCGTTGTAATTCAACGTCGTGCTAGCAATTTCCTCGTTGCATCGATTCACATCGACAGCCGATCAGCGGTGACACCGTGCGAACGCGTTGCGTGACCTTGCGTGGATAATTACATATTCCATTAAGCGGGAGTGCAACGAAAACGCGGGAAATAGGATTTCTCTCCGCGGCGACACGTGTTGATCGTGTACGGTAGAGAATCGTTTCGTGTTTCATTAAACGAACGAAAGGTCGTCGCGTGTATCGATACGAGATGAGAAATTCTGTTGCGGCTGAAGGAACGCCGTAACGGTTCAAACCATACCACCGTAATCTTTCCTCTCGAATGCTCAGCATCCACCATCAGGCCCTCTCTCTCTCTCCCCCCAATCTCGTTGTAATTTAAACCAGTCGAATTTTATTTTCCAATAACTGCACTTTGCTCCAGTTTACGCATGCAAACACGTATTATTTTCTTCGTCTCATCCTGATTATTTTTCTTCTCTCTCTCTCTCTCTCTCTCTCTCTCTCTCTCTCTCTCTCTTTCTTTGCTTCGACGAACTCGTACAGATCAAACGGAAAGCGATTGGACACCCATAACCACGCCAGACGGATGGATCATGATTCAATCGCCCACTACGAAGAAACCAGCTCAAACGTCGGAAGAAACGACCGAGAAACCGATCTTAGAATCGACGTTGCCACCGAGCACTTCCGGTACGATGAAAGATCAACTTCTCTTTTTCGTTCAACGCCTCGATTCAACGATCCAGTCGCATTTGAATTCTAGCTGAAGCTTTTAAGTTATAAATCTGAGCATCGAAGCATGCGCGTCTTTATCTGGCACAGTATTATTCGAGGAATGAAATTGCGACATTTTCGTTCGCCAAGTATCATCGCGAAGGTTTCTCGTGTTTCAGCTAAGCCTACGACTGAAAGTACCACCGAGCGTGTAACGAAAAGGCCGACAATTCTAACAACTTTATCGAGCATCGCGAGCGTGACGATAGACACCGAACTTCCGGTACCAATGGAAACGCTCAACATGTCCGATTACAAGCAAGGTGAGCTGAAAATTCTCCAGCATTTTCTCATCACCGAACGCCGTTCCGATCGACGGAGATAACAACCAGGTCCCCCTTTTTTTTTTTACAACGATCTATTATTCACGCGAATTTCGAGATATCGAGCGCCGCGATGAACTTAGAATCCATGGTCGATAATATAGAAACCTGAGTGTTGTTCAATCGGATTGCACAAATCTTCGGTATTCCACTCCTTCGTGCGATTAAACTACGCGAGAGAGATATAAAAATAGCGGATGAACAGGCAGGATTACGTAAAGGGGAAGCGGCAGACACGTTCACGGTTCGTTCTTCCCATTCATACGAATCACGAAATCGTAAAATCGTGGTTAAAAACGCGGAGGAAAAAAATGGGGGAAAAAGTGGTCGATCTTTCTGGTGTGTCGAATCGTCGAACCGCAGAATCGTACGCATAATTAGAGGTATGAGGAAAAGAAAGAGAGAAAAAATCGTCGGGCGGTCACGATGATACCGGTTCGTCCAGTCGGACAAATATAGAAGTTCTCCAACATGGCGGTCTCAATGAGACTGGCGAATTTGCTGAATGGCTTGAATTCGACGATGCTTGTTCTTGCAGTGTGCGGAAGAAGATTGTTCCCGGAATCGCGGATCGTCGGTGGTAATCGTAGCTCGTTCGGTAAATGGCCCTGGCAGGTAGGTGAAGTTTTTTTTTCTCTGAAATTTTTCAATCGTCGAACGTCATCTTTGCTCTTTTTTCTTCTTTTTTTTTTATCTCCCACCTGAACGTCGCGACACACTTTTCTTCTTCCACGAGAAAATTACGCGACACTTTCATGACACATCGTACATCTAGCTAAACGATTACGTTCTGCACATAATTCTCGGATCTCCTCGCGCGAGGTGTGTGTCTTCCATAATTGATAGACGCAGATAGAGAGAGAGAGAGAGAGAGAGTGTGCGTGTGTGTCGAGGCACGATGATCGTTCTTCGTTGAACAAGATGAACGTTTTCCTTTCAGATCTCGTTACGCCAGTGGAGAACGTCCACGTATTTGCACAAATGCGGCGCAGCTTTGCTTAACGAGAATTGGGCTATAACGGCGGCTCACTGTGTCGAAAAGTTCGTATCGCTTGAATTACATTACGTGTAATTCTCAATCGTTCCCCTCCGATTACATCACACAATCCTTATCTCACCTTTCAATTAATTATCGGTCAACAGAAAAGAACAAATATGTGCACACGTACATATGTAAAGTAACAGCCTTTCCAATTAGCCAATTTCATTGTATCGATGTCTCCTTATCTTTTCTTTTTTTCGTTTTTTCCTTCTATTTTTTTAATACATTTCTCGTGTACAGCGTACCACCGAGCGATCTATTGCTGCGAATCGGCGAGCACGATCTTGCCAACGAAGACGAGCCGTACGGTTATCAGGAGAGAAGAGTGCAAATTGTCGCGAGTCATCCGCAATTCGATCCAAGGACCTTCGAGTACGATCTCGCTCTGTTGAGATTCTACGAGCCCCTATTGCCGTTCCAACCGAACGTTCTGCCTATTTGCTTGCCGGACGACGACGAAAATTACGTTGGTCGTACAGCTTATGTCACCGGCTGGGGCCGACTTTATGACGGTACTCGTACATTTCACTTCTCGGCGAATACTGAAGGATCGTTTGTTTGAAAAAACAAAAATGAATACGTCGAATATGACTTTTTTTTTTTTTTCATCGTCAGAGGGACCGTTACCGTCGATGCTTCAGGAAGTGGCTGTGCCGGTGATTAACAACACTATGTGCGAGAATATGTACAGAAACGCAGGATACATCGAGCACATTCCGCATATTTTCATTTGTGCAGGATGGAAGAATGGAGGATTCGATTCCTGCGAGGTAGAATGATTTTACGAGCTTCGAATTGGATATACATACATACATGAATGATAATTCGTTCTTTTTCTTTCTTTCTGTACTCTAAGGATAGTTGTTCATTCGAGAGTAAAGTTGGTGCGGATTGCTCTCGAGAGTGAAATTTACCAGTGCACAAAGTATCCAGAGTAATGGCTATCTCTTTCTCTCCTTCTCTCTAAAAAATTCTCACGACTCTCGTTACTCTCAAACCTTGACTATCTGTGCACTCTAAGGATACTTATGCATTTCTGAGTAAAATTATCGCGAATTGCTCTCGAGAGTGAAATTTATCAGTGCACAAGGTATCCAGAGTATTCTCTCCCCTCTTTCTCTCCCTCTCTCCAAAAAATTCTCACGACTCTCGTTCCCTACTCTCAAATCTTGACTCTGTACTCTAAGAATACTTTATCGGTGCACAAGGAATCCAGAGTATTCTCTCCCTCTCTCCAAAAAATTCTCACGACTCTCATTACTCCCAAATCTTTGCCAAATCTAACTCCCTTACCCTCGCACTACTCCCCTAATCTTCTCGCTCTAGGCAGAAATTTCCGAAAGGCATCTCTCGAAAAATTCTAATCACCTCCGCGCTGTTCTAACTATTTACCTATTATCGTCCATACACTCGTTTCAGGGTGACAGCGGTGGACCAATGGTGATTCAAAGAGCGCGTGACAAACGATGGATCCTCGCGGGAGTAATTAGCTGGGGCATCGGTTGCGCGGTACCAAATCAACCAGGCGTTTACACACGCATCTCCGAGTTTCGTGAATGGATCAACCAAATACTGCAGTTCTAAGCTCTCTAACCAACAAATCGTCTCAACCTTTTCGGATACGCAGATCAAATCTGGGTGAAAACCACAAGGAGCACGATTACTCCAACGATATCGACTTCCGTATAAGGAACGTATACACCAACCAGTCGAAATATTAGAAAAAAGTTTCTGCCTCGTGTGTATAATATACTACGTGGAAAGAGTCGCGTGCTACGTTTCTCAACGTGAACTTTTGCATTTAGTGAATAATTAAAACGAAAAGAAAAAAAAAAAAAAAAAGAACGAAAAGGAACGAACGAGAAGCTGCGTACGTACTCTAAAACGTGCAATACACTCTCCTCATGATAATTCTATCAAACTTCGATATCAAATTAGATTAAAAACGTTCTCGTATTGCGTGATATGTAAAATGTTGAATAAGCGCGATATTATGTTAAATCACGTGTGTCAGACTCTTTACGTCACATTTTAATCGCTCGATTTAGCCACACGATCAACCTTACGGCATGCCGTTTCGAATTGTTCACCGGGTAACTGTTGCCACCTTTTCGTTCGTACTGTTAACATTCTCACACGTTCGTGTAACGATCGTCGGTAGACTAGCGTTCTACGATGCCAACAGTAGCGTCGTAAATGTTGAACAATAAAATCTACCCAGCTGTATAATGTTAATTCAACATCTGTCACGTGGTGGGGATGATTTTCAACGCTTCTCGATGGACTCGCGTTGCGTTACGTCGTTTCAACGAGAAGACGAACGGGGGTGGAATTTCGAGTGTATCAATCAGATACCGATCGACGATAAGATACACTTTGCAGACATTCTCGGATCCACCGAGTATTATCGTAAAATTTCTCTCTTTTCTTGTCCACTATCCTACGGGAGAATTGTAAAGGAGTGTATTTTCCATTTTCACGTCTTCCAAAACGGCTGCTCGAAGCTGACAATTACGCATCGTGATCCACGATATTATACATATATGTATACACTTCCGGTTCACGCGTCTTGGATCACAGTGCACGTCCGACACGTTGCGCGAGCAAACGCACGATATAATAATTATCGATCCGTAATTCTCTATCGATCTGTACATAATTTACGAACGAGTTCGAGTATTCTTTTTCCTTCGCGTTCGTATCTCGTGTCTCGAGAGAACATTCTCGATACGTAGATTCTATTTTTTTTTTTTTTTTTCTTCTTATCTATGACGAAGATGCTTATTTCAGAGTGATCGATAAAACGCCGTGAGGAATTTTCATTGAAACGAAAGCGAGCCGATAAAATGCCGTGAAATCGGTAACGAAATGAATCACAGAGCCCGATACTGTTTACGTTTTCGTGTACGTTTAAAAAAGTCATTGTCGAAAATATCATACGACCGATTCTAATCGGTCCAATCTTGATCGACAATTCGTACGATAACAGGAGAGGCGTTCGTTATCTCGAGAATTTCACGGCGCATGATTGATCATTGTGATATACGTAATAAACAAATGATCAATTAGAT